GGGGGGGGGGGGGGGGGGGGGGGGGGGGGGGGGGGGGGGGGGGGGGGGGGGGGGGGGGGGGGGGGGGCTGCCTGGTCCGACAGCTGCGGAAACCAACAACACCACCATCACACCGCAGGCAGTGACACTGGACACAACACCAGCAACGACAACCAAGGGGAGCCGAATCAGCACCTGGTACTGTATTAGCTGTGCTTCCTTTACTCACTTGTCGCAACGACCACGCCAACCGTCAGATAACGCAGACACCCTTCCTACTCACCCCGCCGTTCATCCCGCTCACCTCCACTTCGGCACCAGCCCCCTTGGTCCCAACCTCCTCGTGACCCCCCTCCTTGCCAGCCGCGGTAGTGGTAGCAGCCCGCCCCTCCTTGGTGTAGGGGTACATGTTCAGCTCTATCGGGAACTCCAATCGGTCGTTGATCTGCGGGAACGCGGGAGCGCGCAAGGCAAGCGAGTCGACATGGGATAAGGTTTGGGGTTCGTCGCTCACGGCAGGCATGTGCGGCTGTTTCACACGCACCTACAGTACAACGGGACGTTAGTACTGAAACCGTCATAGCACGCTCTTTATTAATGACAGTGCGCTGCAGTACATGAAAAAAAAAAAAACGAAAAGCTCTATGCTGCAGTCTACGTCAAAAAATAAGAACGAAAAGAACTCGTAGCACGCTGCGGACGATCAAGACAATGCACTCTTCAAACCATCATCAGCCCCGTCACCCATCGTCACAGCGGTTCCTTCTCATCATCAGCGAGCAACACCCGCCAAAAAACACCATGCCCACTGACGTCAAGCAAGCATCACACCTTGGTCTGCTGCATGGTGTCGAAGTCGAAGTCGAACCGCTTGAGGTGTATGAGGAGGTAGTTCGGGAGAGACTTGATGGAGCACCTCTTCTTCGTGTTTAGCGTCACCGCTTGTCGCTCGCCTGTTCAATCATTTCACCGGATCCGTCGTGTGGAGGATCAAACAGCACCGGCCGGGGGAGTTAGGCCTTATGCCTACCGCGTGCTACATCGAGTTGCATCCCAAGGCCGCTTTGTTGGTCGGAAAACCTACAGCAGTTCATGGCAAGGCTTTGGGCGCAAAGTGACTGCTACATACGAACGTACGTACGATCATCACATTGGGTACAATGCGAACAGCAACAGGATGTACGATCATCACATTGGGTACAATGCGAACAGCAACAGGATTTTCTGAGCTGGTGCATGCTCGGCTAAAAAAAAAATCACGTGTCGCTCTCCTGCTGTCCATCTGCGGGTCATCGCTATAATAATAACACGGCGCAACAGATCCGTATGCTCTCCACGGCAAAATTGCTTTGGCATAGAAGGTCTGCCTCCCGTGTTTCGAGCCATAGGCTAAGTTTACGCGCCTACGCATGACAGCCTAGCCTGTCCCCTCTGCCTGAGCCATGGACCACGCCCAGCTGCCAATCACGGAAACACAGCGACACCATGGCCCTTGTGTCTCCAACGAGTGTACTTCTAAGTAGCTCGTGCTGTTAGCACAGCCACAGCACACCTGTCTCGGCATTGATTTCCTTGTCCCACTTGAAGCTCACCACCTCCTCGGCGGTAAACACCTCCAGAGCCTCTGCCAGGGTCTTCATGTTCTTCACCTGGGAAAGTGGCAACAAAAACACAAGCAAGTAAGCAAGCCGCCCGTTTCAACAAAGCCTCGCGGGCACAAAAGGACGCCCCAACACGACTTCGCGACGGTGTGGTCATGCATCCTGCTGCGCCAGCCCTTACCACCATCCTTCATCGAATGTCTCCACTACCGCACAGTCGGGTGGGGTGGTGTCTCGAAACTTGGAACGCAATCTACAAATTGTCGTTGTTCTTGTCATCAACTGCGAGAAACCAAAGTGTTGGCCAGAGATATTAGCAGGGGGTTGTCGTGAACCACCGCCACATAACACGACGTCACGCGCTGATTGTTTGGCGAACCCTCTCGCCGTTATGCTAACTTTTCCATTAACCAGAAGAATCGGAGACAAACATGCAAAAACCTGCACCACACACGTGAAGGTGTCGCACGACCGTACCTCCACAGAAATGTACGAGAAGGGTTCTGGACGCTCGCTGTAAAGAAGACCCCCCTCAGCGAGCAGCTCGTTGCTGTACACTCCGCCGAAGCACTGCTTCAGGATGTTCTCGCTAGCTGATCCCATAACCTGCCCCTCCACCTGCAAGGGTCCACAAGCGGCCCGTGTCGAGGAACCCATCGCAGGGCGATGCAAGAGGAGAAGAAGCGGACAGAGGAGGAGAGTGGGAGGGGGGACAGAGTGTCGAGTCGAAGATTCGCAGAGTTAGCCCCAGTAAACAGAGCCAGCATGACTTCTCTAGCAGCAATGGCAGTGGACCAAACGCCCCCCTATTCTTGCCACCCTCCGTCGCCGCCTACACGCCGGGGTTACGCTTCCAACCGGCACGGGGATAGGTATCACGAGCGCCGTCTGTTTATCGCACCACCAATCGTCGCAGACGCCCCCGCAAACCCGGCAATGGATAAAAGACAAAATACATGAAGCAAGAGACACCCACGCAGACCAACACACTCCCTCTCTCGTGTGGCGTGTGCAATGCAGCGATCTCCGACTGCCGTCTGTACAAGTACCATCTCCCCGTGGGCGTAGAACCAACCCCCCCCCGCGCACCTGCTGGAAGAACTGCGTGATGAACTCCGAGGCGTCTTGCTGCACCATCACGTCCAGAGCCTGCCCCTCCCAGTCCCGAAGCGAACGCACCAGGCCCACCGGGTTGAAGTGGGCCTTCTCCGACTCCTGGATTACAAGTAACGAGTATCGTGTGGCACCGTGCCGTTTCGGGATTGCCACCAGCTGTTGGTGTTGGTGTTGGTGTGCTTGGGAGGTTATTGTCAAGTTGAGTGTTAAGATAGTGACACCGACGAGTTCGTGGGTCAAGGTCTGATGGAGGGAAGAGGGAATATGAAATGAGCGTAACGAACGGAGGGCGGCTGTGAGGATAGGTTACGCGAAGGGAAGAAGAGAAATCACCCGGCAAACGAATTTTTCTATTGCCAAGCACGCGTAGGACTTTCGTAGTACGGTAGACAGTCTCAAGACTCGGCAGCGAAGGCACACCGGCCTACCATCACAACGCCGCTGTTTTCGAAAATAAGTCATACACGTTCACAATCGAACAAAGGGTACGACGAACTGCTCGCTAATCCTGTCGAGACCCGAATCTACTGCCAGTCGAACGCTACCTGTAGGTGGCTGAACATGTTCTGCAGCTGCCACATGAGGCTGTCGTCCGGCGGTGTTTGGTCGTGATCTCTGAAGTCGAGCACGCCTTCTCGGAATTCCGGGACCATGAAGAGCTAAATCGCCAGATATTCCATGAGCAAAATGGTATCCAAGGCGAACCAATAGAGGGGGCGGGGACGGGGCCAGTTTAGCTGCCGTGAGAACCTTCGGGAAATGGACACGCGAGTTTTGCACCGTTTACTGACACGGATGTCACGCTGAACCTGGAGGCAAGGCGTGTTTCGATTTTCAGACAGACCCGACAGCTGCTGAGCGGACACACAAAAAGCATGAAAAAACAAACAAAACACCCAAAACCACACGCGAAACATGTAGCACTAGGTAGATATCACGAACCTGCTGCAGGGTGCTGTTCATGTAGCAGATGCAGCCCATGTTCTTGAGTCCGACGAAGCCCGTCTTGCTCTTGTGCTTGGCGATGTGGTGCGGCTGCTGACCAAACGACGCCGCCCTTGCCCTAGACTTGCCCCCCATGTCCATGTCCATGTCCCGATCTCTATCCTCGGCGGCGGACTGTGACGACGACGTTGTCCCTCGGATACCGCCAGACGCTCGAAACCTTAATACGGGACGGGAGTGAGTCGTGTGGTGGGAAGCAACAGCCAGTGTCGGAGAACAAATCGTGTTTGGACTGCTTCCGAAACGGACGTGACTTCTCGCCGGTCGATAGAGCGCCACTGCTATTGATTGTACAACGGTTCGGAGGTCTTTCGTTGTTTCGACGCTGTTGCTGTTGCTGCTGCTGTTACTGTCGATGTTTTGCGCTTTTGGTTGTCTTCAGATGAGGAAGCCATCATGACCTCAACCTCACTTCAAAACGCATCGCCGCATGCATTCCGCATCCACCAACCCCACCTGCTAAGGGAAAAACAACTTCGATGTATTGGAGGCATACTGTACCCGACCTGCCCCCTTATAAGTCATGTACAAGTAAGGCGATACCTCTTGCGCACTCAAACTTCGCAGCCTTGAAGGTTTTTCGTTCGTTTGAATCAAATCACCCACCGCTCTTGCCAGTGTGTTCGAGGAAGGAGCCCACAATTATACGACATGAGCACACACATCACGTGCACCGGCAAGAACATTCAGGCATCGATCGCTGTACGATATGTACTATTTAAAAGGGAGAGAGGATGTGCAGGTTCATCATCCAGGCGCCGCTGTGATACGCACTTTCATCAGTAGAATCACGCATCATGCAACATGCACAGACCTTTTAGTGTTGAGCAAGCAGTACGTTACGTTGTTCACCTGTCCTGCTGCTCGTCGTTTCTTCTCCTTCGACCCTCCGCACTATTTCGCCCGAGGAAATGCTGAGGCCCCACCAGCGCCACGGTCTGTACTTTACGTAAGTAGTTACAAGTACATGATTGTGGTGGGCTGATTTTGGTCAAGGCGGGAAGCAAGAACAACAACGATCATGCCGACCAAAGCGTGCGGGGGTCAAGGCGGGGATCACACAAAACTAAGACGTAACCCCAAAGTTTGAAAACACGTTGGCATGGTCAAAAAACGAGCAAAGCGTCACCGCGTGTTGGACAGAGAGCGGCACACAAATCGGTGAAAGCGCGCCAGGCTCGTTGCAACAACCATACTGAAGGATAGCACAAGGGACAAACTCACGAGATCGAGGTTGGGAGCGCAGCCCGTCGCTAGCTCGTTGAGGAGGATGAAGGCCACCTCCCGGCTCTTATCGCTCTTGCACTTGGGTAGGGGTATTCCCTCAAACTTGAAACCGTCGGAGCAGCGCAATGAGAGGGGACGGCGAAGGACGTCACAAGCGAAGGGGGAAGGGCACGCAACATGATCATCAACACGTACTCGTGCTTCCACATCCAAGTCAAGTACCAAACCAAGTACCAAGTCATGTACCAAGTAACGTATAAGCACCCTCAACACTCCCCCTCAACTCGAACTGGGACACAACGGACAACAGCAGCTTCGGTGAGGTATCGGCAATCACGTCCAGGAACAGCAGGAACAGCCTCGCTGGATAGCATCCGAAAACAACAAACCCTTGCTTCGGGGTAAATCTGAACGATAATCTAAGAGACATATCCGCCCCTTCATAGCACGACAGAGGCTCTGTACAAGACCTCAACCCCGCCAAGACAGAGTTAATAACTTCTCTCTCTCTCTCTCTCTCTCTCTCTCTCTCTCACCTCGTCACCGTCCTCCACTGCAGCACCACCATCTCCTGCTCCCCCCCCGCGAAGGATGCCAACACCACCGCCCTCCACACCGCTCCCAGAAGAAGACGAGACGGTGCTACTACCTCTCTCGTGAGGGAGCGAGAACAGGCACCGCTCCACCAGCTCCCGAACCAGTCCCCGCCCCCCGCCGCCTCCCCCCGCCACCGTCCCTCCCCTCTCCTCCTGCTTCCCCCCCCTCGCCGCTCTCCCCGCCCCCCACATGCCTCCGACGAGCTGTCCGGCCGCGGTCGTAACCGCCGCAACCGCCTTTGTCGCCGCCGCCGACGGCGAACCGACACCGGCTTCGCCTTGTGCTGCCGCCGTCGCCGAAGTTCTTCTTGACGAGGTTGTCGGCGCTGCTGCCGTTGCCGGCGGCGGCGGCGGGATGACGTCCGCCCCCGCCGTCGCCTTGACCTCCGCTCTACGGCAGTCCGGGAGGGTCTTGAGGGCCTTCTTGAGGAAGGTCATGTATCCCGCCAGGACGGGGTCTTGGTCCTCCTCGGATTGCTCCACCACCGGCCTGTTTGGTGCCGTGTGGTTGTTTAGGCAGGGGTAACGAGCACATATACACAGAAAGAAGGGGGCGGGGGGGGGAGAGAGAGAGAGAGAAAGAGGGGGAGGTAGAGTCACGGGCGCAGGTCCGATTTGTTCCGCGGTATGGGCAGTTTGATTGGGACTGCCATCATATCTCGCCCACCGGCTTGGCCAATCGGCGTGGCCGGCAGACACAATAGGACAAGCACCACAGCTGAGGCAAAGCCAACAAACCAATTGTACTTTACGTACTGAGGGGTATCTGATAAATCATGGAACATGTTGCACTCACTGTGACTTACATGTAGTGTCGTTCTGCTACAAAAAATGAGATATGTATTCATCGGAGGCCGACATCGCCAGTGAGATTCCGCGCAGTTGAGGTCGGGAATGTTTGACGGAAACCACTGCAGTCCGGTGGTGTACTTCAAAGCAATGGGCTTCGCGCCGAACAAGGCTAGCTCTTGTACCATGGGGCCAACACAGTAAAACAGAACGCCAAAAATACAATAAATGAAACCCCGTCCTCGCAACTAACCCGGGTAGAACGATCAAACTTCGCAAGGTGGTTGTAGCCTCACTGACCTTGCACAGATGAGATCGGCGAGGTGAAGGCAGAGGTCAGCCTGCTCATTCGGGGGCATGGCGTTGGACTGTCCGATCAACCAGCCCACGAGGTTCAGGTAGGTGTCGCATCTGCTCTCGTACTGCTCCACCTGCCATTCGAACCAGCACGGTGACGGTTTCACGCGGCTAAACAACACCACGTGACGGTTTCGACGCCGCGCAATAAATACACATACAACACACCGCAATGGGTGCACACGACGCGACACCAAACGCCGCCACGTTGCTCCACGCCACCATCGACAACCAGACCGCACGCGACTAACACACGACACAAGCGGGGTCTAATAAGATGGCTTTTGAGGTACATATGCACCGACATCGCAAGCGGCGAACGCGGGGGCGTCGAGGGATTGGATTGACACCATATGTGCCTGCTCGTCTAGTAGGCAACACCAGAACGGGGGGGGGGGGGACCG